AATGTACAACGTTTCGACAAGGTTTTGTCATCATCAGGTACTGACAAAACCTTGTCGAAACGTTGTACATTTGCTGTCATGTTAAACTTATATTAAAGTTTTTCTTCATTACCCATTTAAGCCGTCTCCAGCCATTATATCCTTATATATTTTGACAAACCTCAATCTATAATTTGCGCGCCATCTATTAGCATAAAAGTGATTCATAAAGACCACATTAAAATATTTTTCTAAAAGTGATATGAGAATTTAAATGTTGTGATTATTTCGGATGTGCAATTTAGAAAAAAAAATCAGATATGTATTTTTCTCATATTTAGAGGTATGTTGGTATTGCCAATAAATCTTAGTTTTGAAAATATATTTCGTTTGTATTTACTACACATTTTTTTCTATCTCTCAATGGGCGAACTGTTATAGATGTTGAGTTAGATAAAAGTTGCCAGTGATGTAGTGCTAAATAAAGAAGTGAGGGAACGAGTTTTGAAGGTATTACTATGATTAATAGTTATTACGTCACGAATACATAAAAACACATATTTCAGAAATAGTAGCTGTCAATTGTAATTATAATTGAAATCTAAAAATATCTGCAGATTGCTTTGATATAGGGAAACATCTGTTAGCTGAGTTCCTGCACAGAGCTTGAAATATAACGCTCATAAATGGAAACATCGGCTAATGTAGATAAGTAGATTTTGAAAGTCGAGTTGTTCAAAACTTGAAAATAGCGTTGATAACTGGACCAATTGTTGATTGAGATGTTGCAAAGGAAATATCTGCTGAAGCTTTTCGCCAGTTACTAATCATAGCAGAACCGTCTGGAAAATTATCTATAGGAATTAGTACAGCTTATAAAATGAGTCAGGTCAACGTAAAGCAATCACTGATTGGCATGTCCTTTAACCAATCAGGAAATGTTACAGATTAACTGAAGGATTTGTAGGAAGGTACGTGTGGAATAAGCACAGTAGGGGTTCACTGCAGGAAAACATTTAGTAATGGCCGTTTCAATTGTTTTTCAAATGTTACCAATCTTTGGTAGTTTTAGATAAACTGGGCACTTTGACTGAGTACGTTTTCTGGATACCCATTTTCTAGTAAAATAGTTTTAATTAAAAATATCTAAAAATGTTACGATAAAAAAGTAATTTTCTCTCACCCTGAACTTTTGAATTTCTGGATAACTTATGAACAGAACTTTCAAACTTGGTCTGAAGGGAGTTTCTTGGACTTGGCTACTCTTGGTCTCATGGTTGATTAATAGCCTAGAGCTCGTTTCCGCAGTGATAAGGTTCGTGCTTTTAAAGCCTCGTTCGCATTCAGAAGAACTGCCTGGGATGAATTTTAAACTCCCGATTAAAGGATTCATATCTGATGGAATATGGCGACCACAATTGTCTAGGAAGTCTCTGTATGCTGTGGTTGTTTTTGAAAATGACAATCTG